TATATTGTAATTATTATTATTTTTATTAATTTAAAGGAGCTTATAACTAGATATTAATGCTTTAAATTTTTGCCATTGTTAATTAATAGTAACATAACATCAATGTTATAATTTATAGAAAATTATAACATTGATGTTATGTTACTGTTAATTGGTGTTTACCGTGGTGTTTCCTGAGTAATTACCGGCGGCAAACACTTTGCTTAGTTGTATATGGGACCTTGAGGCAAATAAAAAAACAACGGATTTCGAGGCACACGCGGGCGACGTAGTGAGCATCAGCTTGTCCCCCGACGGTAACACTTACGTCACCGGTTCGGTCGACAAAACTTGCAAACTGTGGGATTTACGAGAAGAGAAAGCCAAGCAAACATTCTTCGGTCACGAAGCTGACGTAAATTCTGTCTGCGTGAGTGTTTGGCGTATTTCGCGTGATACTTCTCAAGGTTCCGGATTTAATGAGGATACTGTAATATTGTATCTATTACTTTGTTCTATCAGTATCATCCCTCCGGACAAGGTTTTGTAACAGCGTCCGAGGACAAGACCGCGAGACTATGGGACTTCAGATCTGATCAGCAATTAACTACCTTTAAACCACCGAGCTCGAATCCCGGGTTTACATCTTGCGGTCTGTCTCTGAGCGGCAGATTTATATTTTGCGGTAGCGATGACAATTCTATTCACATATGGGATACGTTGAAGAATCAACACAACGGTGAGTTCATCTACCAGGAAAATTATTATTATGAAATTATGTCAGTAAAAGATTTTTTCATCTCTCCTTTCAAGGTGTCTTATCTGGTCATGAGAATAGAGTGACATCACTTTGTGTCTCTGGTAATGGAATGGCAGTGGCCAGCTGCTCCTGGGATCAGAATGTCCGAATTTGGGTGTGAATACATACAACATTTAATACATTTAAGAGCTGTCTGAAGCAATTGAGAGAATACTGGGCGAGATATATTATCACAAATATATTGATTATATAAAAGCCTATCGATTCTTCTTGCACGAAACCTGCGCAATAATCTTACTAATTCTTCTAACGAATTATTGTCTAGAGTTACTTTAGTCTAGAATTACAGCGTAATCAATTAATTTGCATTAAAATGTTCTTTCTATTCGCAATCTGCATTCATTATAATTCATTATAACTCATTACGTTAAACTAAAAAATATAATAAAAAAATATATTAAAAAAGTTTTTTATTGTAAATTAGTTCTGGATTCATCTTGTATATTAGAGATAAATTTTTATTTAACGAACAATTGCATTATTAATTACGTACGTAAGTAATTGTGACCAATTGTACAGAATCTACAGCATTAAACTTCTTTATTCCTTCAAGACGCAATATGGAAACATTTATTGACTCACGAAACGGACGATTTGGTGTTGCCAATGCGAATTTATTTCTAAAATATAGACATATTATACTATTCCTTCTTATTGAATATGCTGCAGAAGAGTGCGTTAAAAAAATTGTATCGTGTCTTAAAATTTACATGCTAATGCGATACAATAAATTTGATATATCGATTAGGCGTGATGCGCGGGTCAAAAATATTGTATTTTCTTCGCACAAATGAGTATCATTGCCGTAATACTGTATACTTCATACATATTTGTTTTCGTGAGCATTAACTTAGGCCAGTCTAGTGACATACTTGATACGTGTGTGTGATAAAACAGTTTCAAACTTAATTAAAAGTCTTTTATAGTGTCACAATTGCTATGATTATCGCGCATTCTACAATAAGTTTTTTTCTAGGAAGATTCTATATATATATATGTATATATATGTATATATATATATACATATATATATATATATATATAAATTACACAGTATCTATGCACATTAAGCACGTTAAACGTTAAGGTTAAAAGATAATTAAAACGTCGATTAATCTCGAGCACATAAATCTTTTGGTAAAGTTCACTTTTTAACGATTAAACGCACGAGGAAACTTATGCGGAATCTAACACAAATGTACAGCGCGACTTCGACGGAATTGAAATATATCGATCTCTTACCACAGTCGTGACAACGAACTTCGTATGTACAAACACTTGCAGTCCGATTATGAATCATATGGTTGTGCTCGTTGAGGACAGACGTGAGAGGGAAACACAAGTTCATTTTCAGAAATGGGCATCGAATTAAAATCCGTCCAGATGAACGAGCAGAGCGACAATCACCGTGGCACCGGCTTCTTTGGTGGCCCACTTGTTAGATTCGCAATGTAGATCAGTGCTGTCCTTATCGCCAGGACTAATCGTATATGAGCCGGGTCTTACCAGCAATTGAAACGCAGTTGATGCGTTCAATTTTTTATTTGATTGCATATCGATATATCTATAAAATAAAAAATTAAATTATAATATATGTAAGATATGTAGAAGTGAAATATGTAGAGGATATTACTCACGGATATTTTTTCGTGAATTCATCGGAAGCTGCGTACTTGATGCTAGGCGAAAACGATACTTGAGGATTTTGATCTTCACTCTTTGTGCCTGCTGTTAAGTTACTCACATCCAGTTGTTCTTTGGTCATTAGCTCTCCTCTATCCAAAATCAATCTAAATCGCACAATGACATATTAATAAAGAATAGACCGTGAAGAAGTCTGTTCCATTCAGAGCCAGGGCTGAAATTATGACAAGGCACTTGCTCCATGAAAAATTTAAAGTAGTGCAAAAATGGCAATATAAATTTCTATATATTTTAATTTATTTGCTACTAACAATGATTATAATAACTCGCCGTTGAGTGCTCAGTATATTAAATGAAAGTGACACACACATACATATATATAAGGATATAAATCTTGAAAATAATTGACAATTTCACGGCTATCAAAGCATAAAAAGTACTTTAAATGAAAAAAATAGTTTTTCCGTGAATATTTTCCAGAATTAATTTTACTGTAATTTAATAACTAGGATTCATTAATTTATACACAACATACACATAATCTGTATTTCTATAAAATTAATATCGATATATTAAGTATTACTAATTAATATTACTTTTTATTATATTTTACATGCCATAAGAGAAATATTTTTTTGTTACTAAAGGACGCATTTTTTTCTTTTGCCTTGAGCACCGTAATACTCAGTCCGGTTCTATATTCCAAGATGATTCATCGCATTACCTTATCGCGTCTAGACGTATACCGTAGAACGCAACATGCCACTTGTCTGTCGTACTTTGTGGGATTTGATTGGCATTGATGCTCTGCTTTAATGGGAACCTGGCCCAGCCGACTGGTATCGCGAATTCCGCCGGAGGCTCGCCCTTTTTGCAAGTCGCGTTGTCACCGTCCAATTTATAGCACACGCTACAGTAGCACAGTATCTCGTCAGTAGAGAAAAACTCGTCTGGAAGAACGAGCGACTTCTTTAGCTGCATGCACGCCTTCAAGTAATCGCACTTTCTGGACGACACGACGATGGTGGACTCAAGTGGAGTGGACGGTAACGACGATGGTACATATGGTATTGAGGATGCGTTGTACACATCCCGTTGATTGATCGTCGTGTTTTGGCTCGGAAGTATATTCCCGTTGAAGGAATTGTCACGAATGTTGTCCCGACTCGCGTAGGACCGCGATTCGTGGAAGCCGGAGCAAGTATTATTAGGAAGATCCGACAAATTGTTCTGTTGTGTGCTGCTTATAGTATTGACTTGACTATTGGACGCTATGCTTTCGTTAATCGCATTGTTAGCGTTCGTCGCGGTGATTGCCGCGTTCAAGCTAGTCATATTACTCGCGCTGGCGACCATACCTTTCTGTATATTAATATTAGTCGCGTTATTTATTTCTACATTTGTACATAGGGCATGATTTTCCGTGTCGAGATTCGATTCGCTCGAATTGTTCTCAGGCTGCTTGTTCAACGTAGGCGGTACAACGTTGTCTAGGTACGCTTTGTTCTTGGCGCTTCGCGTATCGTTGTTGAGCTCCGAGCCCGAGTCTGAGTTATTACTGTCAATACTCGATGCCGCTTTGATGCCTACAATGCTATTGTTTGCTACATTCGTGCTATTGTTGCTATCAAAGGATGAGTACTCGGTCTCGAAATTGCCATCTTTAGCGTTTGAACTGCATTGACTCGGCACACTAGGTGATGTCGAAGATGGCGAGAGATCCGATGAAGTTGTCGCCATTGCATTCTCCTTCTCGTGACATTCCAAATCAGCTTTCTCACGTGAATTCTCTACATCTTCTGTTTCCACGTTCGCGCACTCAATAGGAGCCGCGAGCGCGTTGTCAATTGTGACATTCGAATAGGAAGGCTCTTCGTTGATTCCTACGATGGATATTTGCTCACACTGCCCATACAAGTCGATTACAGCGAAGACATGCGGTGGCAAATCGGTTGCGGCCACTCCCTGATCTATGCTATTGATGAACAAGTGTAGTCGATTGTCTTCATCGATAAGCAAGCCCACGTTAGAGTTGCATTGAAGATTTTCTAAGCCGACGCCATATTTCGTCTTCACTCTCATGCCATTGTGAAATATCCAATCGCTGCAGATAATCCATGAATGCCTCTTAAAACCAAGCGCTGTTAACGGGAAGCTCGCTTGCTTCTCCGGCGATATGCAAGAAACACCACAGAGGATACTCGATACCCACCGTTCGTTCAGTTTCTCTATTCTAACTTGGAATGGCTTGCCTTTTATCAATGGACGACTGGACATCACCACACCCTGATTGTAACTAGCTACTCGCTTGGCAATTGTTTTCGTTTCCAGCTGAATGTTCCTGCCGTGATTCTCATGGAACTCATAACTCCAATCTCCATCGCTAGCGGTCAAACCGGTGGCGGTGACTTGCGTTGGCGTGAGCGTCGTCTCGTTAATCAATTTCCCCTCGGATACATCAATGGATGTATCCATTCCCGCATCGTTTCTTGGCGGCATTGGATCCAACAGCAATTCCAGCGAATCTTGCAGCCTTAAACTAGCGTTCGGAGATATCGCGGGATTCTGCTGTCTGCTGCTGGTGATATTCACAGCCACGGTACTACCAAAGAGTTCGATCACTGCGTACACCATCTCCGGCACGTCGGACGCAGCTACGCCCATGTCTTCGCCATTCACATAGAATTTCAGGTTACCCTCGTGAGTGCGTTTCACGCCGATCTTGTCGCCCACTCGCAACCAATCCAAGCTCGTACAGTAATTTGAAGAAAGCGTAAAACCCATATGTCTTACCTCGTTGCCCGTCAGATACCAGGCATCGCTAGGAATGGATGTCATACCAGGTACGAGGTTCATCGATGTCAACCAGTTGCCTGTCTCGTTACTCAAGACACCTGTTCTCAGACAACCGCTCCACTCACGCGCCACTTCTTGGATAGCGATTTCGAAGAGCTCGTTATTTTCTAGAGCTGCTTCACTTAACAAAACAGCGTTATTGTACTCTCTGCATCTTGTCGCCACTATTCTGTCACTGTTTAATTGAATGTTCAGTCCGACTGACTCGTGGAACTTATGCAGAATTTCAGTTTGCACTTGAGGCTGAATTACCGAGGTTGGTTGTTGACTAATACTGTTCTCCGATGGTAAGTATTGTTGCGTCAGAGGATCCCTGCGCTCTGGTAATACGATCGTCACCTGAGATATATTATTTGGAATTAATACGCTGAGACATAATTGTTATCATCGGACAGATATATATACCTGTGCACATTGGCCGTATAAGTCGATTACTGGATAAACATTCGGCGGTAAACCAGTACAGGCGGGACCTTGGTCTACTCCATCCAAAAAATAATGTAGAGAAGAATCCGAGCACCGCATCATTCCAATCCGGTTACCTTCAATCAATTTATCCAAATCGCAGCTGTAGTTATTACGCAATGTTACGCCGTCGCGCATCACCGTCGACCCAGACAGCATCCACGTATCGTGATCGATATCTGTCATAGTAGATGGAAACTCTAACTCATCAGGCCTTATCACAGTAACTCCTGTAAGCAGTTTTGTGAAAGATAATATAGAAAAATTTTTATTATATTTATAATAAGTAAAAATTAACTGATATGTGATTAATACAAGAGAATAGTTATATTCCTCAAAGATCTTGACGCCTAATAATATTTTTACAAAATTTCTAATTCATGCAATTGAAAATTGTAAAAATATTATTAAATAGCAAGATTCACTTTAATCGAATACAGCTCCGTTATAGATCTTTTTTTAACTTATTTTATTATATCTGATGACAACTCAGATAACAATTACCTGCTTCTATAGCACCGGACCATCTAGCAACCATCTTATCTATCGTTACTTCAAACATTTCACCGTCGCGTAGTGCGCGATTCGCAATCACAATAGCTTCGTTGAATTCACCTAGAGCTCGCGGCCTGGACGCCGTTAAACCGTTGTTCGTAATCCGCGCGTTTTTACCATGCACGTGATGAAACCTTAGATCGCTGTCAATAAATTTACACAATCATCTGCGAATCGATGATAAATTGCGATAAACCATTAATGTGTCGAAATGTCAGAAGAAATCGTACCTATACAACGTAGTATTACTAAAACTCGAATTGTTCGTGGTCGGACTATAAAAGTCCATGTTGTCGACTATGGTGGCTTGAGCAGCTTGCCCGTAGAGATCAATCACTCCATAGACTCTCTCGGGTACATTCATTGCGGCTACACCCTGATCGGCGCCGTTCACGTAGAAGTGTAGCGTCGCGTTATCCTTCCTCATTACGCCTACGCGATCACCGATCTGTAGACGGTCCAAATTCTGACCATATTGATCTATCATAGTGGTACCGTTGTGCATCACGCCGTTGCCCGTCATCATCCACGTGCCAGATCTGCAATCGTTACGAGCCGCCTTCGAGCAAGAACATAAGCGGATAAACAACTTACCGCACACATCAACTCGGTGGCAATAACCATGTGGCAAACTGCTTGAGATTGACGCGTGGTCTTACCTCACATTTGTCATAGTAAACGGAAACTCCAATTCTGTGGGAGAATGCGTGGTGACTCCTATTTCGATAGAACCAGCCCATTTTGTGACAATTTTATCCAGTCTGACTTCAAACAACTCATTCGGCTTTAACGGTCTCGAAGTTAATACCACGCCGTTATTGAAATCGTCTATGGCGCTGCGAAAAAAAATTTATATCTTTTTGTTAACATTTATTATATTACTCGTGTAGGATGTTTAGGGCATTTCAGCTTTATAAATTTGTTAAACATATAAATGCTATTTATATATATTATTATATTTAGTATAAATTGTTTAAAATATTATACATTTACCTTTATCTAGATCTAGAAGATGTACAAAAACTATCTTTATTTAATTGTAACTCATTAAAGAGAGCAATAAAAATTGAGATATATGTTGGAGTGTCAGAAACATCCCATATAATATCAAAAAATCACGCGAGTAATATATATGGAACGCATGCAATTTCAAATAAGTCGGATATAGTGAATGTTTACTTAGGTCTATGCGCTGTACGCCCATTGTTGATCACATCGGCATGTGTGCCACAACAGGGATGAAACATCAGTCTATCAGGAAGTTCTTCTTCTCCAGCTTCTATAAAATTTATGTATATCACAATATAACAGGTTTTATTTCTAAAACTTGCCAGAAATCCGGTACAAGCATTACCTTCGCTATCTAGACCTTGTAGCTGTAATGTGTTTCTCCTAGTGACTAGATTCTGTTCTTCTCTTTCGTCGCGATCGACAATGGTTACTTTCACGGTCATTCCATAAAGATCTATTACGCCCCACACACTTGTCGGTACTTTAGCAGCAACACCTTGATCTAGACCATTTATTAAATAGTGAAGATCTCCATTACTCTGTCTAATCATTCCCACACGATCCCCTTCCTAAGAAATATAATGATGTAAAAATAACGATTTGAAGAGAAAAATAAATTTAAATAAAGATGTTCAGTGTTATAATTTTGGCCTTAGTGTACCCTTAATTCATCCAAATTGAATTCGCCGTATTCCCGTTGCGTGCCTTTTCCATTTGTTAAAATACCACAGCCAGACATCATCGTTGTACCCGAACGCATATTAGTCATCGTTGCTGGAAATTCTAGCGCTGTAGGACTATGAGTAGTAACGCCAACTTCTATACTTCCTGACCATTTGTATACTAATCTGTCTATTCGTATCTGCAACATAGTAATTTGTAGAAAAAGAATAAGTGATTTTTGATATTTTTCGCAACAAGTCAGTTTTAAAAAATGTTTATTAGATGCAATATTATTAAATTGCATCGATTTAATTTATAATAGTACTATTAGTACTTTCAGTTTTAATTTAACCCTTATTGACATTTATGATAATTTTTCGTTCTACACGATGGAATGTTTATATATCCTAAGTTAATTTTCATTATTTTTAAAAATATATAAAATAATTAATTCTTTCAAGTACTTTAATATCTTTAGAAAGTATTTGTAAAGATGTATATTTAAAAAAGAACAGAACAAAGACTTTATTATTTAGCTAAGTATTAGTATTTCAAAGAAAATGTGCACAGAAATGATTGCTGAGACTACTTAAGACATTTTTCTGTTCAACTGTGTATTCACAATATTTAATATCTCATTTATTATTATAAATAATCTTGTTATAGAATCATAAATTCTTACATAAACATGTAAGAATTAGATGATTTTGTTTTTGCAATTTAATATATAAATATTCTTTCGTAATTGATTTTATATCCGAATACTTACCTCAAACAGTTCGTTATCTCGCAGTGGCCTGTGAGTCATTACAACACCATTGTTAAACTCATCAAGTGGCCTCCGCCTTTCGGCGGTTCTGGCATTATTAGACAGTTTCACCAACGAGCCGACTCTCTCATGAAACTTCAATTTATCCTCTCTTATAGCAGCGGGAGTTGGATTTTTCGGTAAGTTAACGTTTACATTAACACTTAGATTAACATTTAAGTTAGCGACTAGATTAGTAGTTGAAGAACTGGAAGTTTCCCCCGCAGCATAATCATTATTAATCTCAACTTCGTCTTTCGACACATTACACAAACTAGCGAGTTTCGGAGTAACGCTGACTTGTATACAATCGCCATATATATCTACAACGGCAAAAATACGCTCTGGAATGTTGCTAACGGCAACTCCTTGTGAGACACCATTGATGTAGAATACTAGTTCATTCTACAATTATAAGATTATCATTAATTTTCATGTAAAATGATTAATATAAATGATGGACTATATATAATTATAAATTACATTGGACGTTCGCATGACTCCCAAAGTGTTTCCCTCTTCTAGATCATTAAGATCTGCTCCGTACGTTTCCACGATGCGATCTCCATTGTGAATTATACCAGAGCAGGTCATAATCCAAGATCCATGACAAAGGTTTGTGGCACAGGGTGGTATCACTAAGGTCTCGGGATCGCATTCTGTCACTCCAATGTCTATGCTACCGCACCATGATATGATCTGCGCAATACCATTTTCAAAGTTAACGCAAGTGTACTTTAATACACAATTATCTCAGAATTGTCATATAATACACAGATTTGTCAATAAGCCTGTTCTTTTCAGTTGAAACTTCTTGCACTGTTCTCTTTTTTCTTCATAGGGGAAAAAAAAAGAAACGAACTGCATATAAGAAGTTCAGATGAAAAGAACAGATCTAATATCTCTGAAAGAAATTAAATTAAATATTTAATTTAATAGACATATTAGACTGAAATTAAATTAAATATTTAATTTAATAGACATATTAGACTGAAATTAAATTAAATATGAGTATAAATATGAATATATGACAAGTATTAGTTCACGAAATAAATAACATAGGATATTTATTTATCAACAAACACAGTGTGCGTGTAATTATATATTCCATGTTTTGATATTTCTTGTTCAGGCTGAGCCTTAGCTATTGAATATCCACAGAGAACGGGCGGTTCTCTCGCAGGAGCTATATGTGCGCGCGTGTATACCTTCTTGTCGATGGTGACTTCAAACAGCTCGTCATCCTGGAGCGGCTCGGCGCTGAACACCAGACCGAAATCGTATTCGGAAAAATTGCGTGTGGCGGTGCTGCTGTTGTTGCTGAGAGTGATACGATAGCCGCATCGCCGATGGAACATGTCGAATGCAGGTCACCCCGTATGTTGTCCGTCGCGCCACGTCGTGCTTTACGATGCGGTGCAGTCGGGTCGGTCGACACCAGTGGACACCACTGACACCACACCAGTCGACACACCAGAAGGCGCGCCACGCTGCGCCGCGCCGCGACGCATTGCATTGCTGCCCTTTGCTCTCCACCTTTCACCACCGTGATACTGGATTCGTTTTTCGGGTTTTTTTATTTTACGGGAGCAAAGAAAAGTGGAAAAAGCGCAGACAAAAATTTTGTCCCTTCTTGAGTATGCATTCCCTGCATTTAGATTGAAATAATTATCGCTGAAGATATTGTCGCTATTCTTTTAAATTTCAGTTTTCTCAGTTCAAATTTTTTTCTTTATATTCCTTTTTTTCAAAAAATAATTTACTTTTATTACATTTTACGTGTGGAAAATGTAATGCAAATTTTTTTAGTAATATCAATATTTTTCTGTTGAGCTTAGTACGAAATGTTCTAAAAAAAGCACGCCATACAATTTTCAATCATTTCATATCATTTGGAGAATGATGATTGTTTTATGATTTGGAACCGAATGAAACGAATTTTTGAACCATATTTTGTTATATAAAGCGCCATCTAGAAATTTATTAGAAAAGTATCTACGTTATAAAACAGTCGATAGGTTCCGACGTATGATAATTATTAAATTGGTAAATTTTTTATCGCAACATTAATTTTATTTATTTATTATATGTATAATAATCTAAGAGTGTTTCATAAATTTCAAGATAACATTTATATGAATTGTTTATATTATTTTTACATGAATATTTTTCTGTAATATAAACAATGTAAATTATTACTAATTGAATACAATAGAGAAAAAAGTAATTTTTCTCAGATATATTCCTAATAATTGAGAATATGGATTAAAATGGATTGAAATTTTTATGTATATTTTAAGTTCATTAACTTTGAATCCAATATTCTTGGAATATAAAATATTTTTCATACATGAATATGTAAATAGGTATAAACATTAGCTATGTTCAGCAATGCAAATCTGAGGCATTGGAGTGCTCTTTTTTTACAGTGCACGTGACATATGCTATAATATAAGAGCATTCCGACTTGCAGTTTCAGATACTGAACGCAGCTAAATGTTCATAAATATGTATAATCATATACAAAACATGTCAATTCATGTTTTCTTTTTTTTTTAAATTACTTTTTATAATAGAAATAATAATAGTAATGTGAAAACACTAAAAATAATTAAAGGAAATAATTTTCTCAGTGTTCGTTTCAGAAAAAAACAAATTTCGAAAAATGTAAAAAAGAAATTCCTCATACGCAATCATGCATAATTTTATTATGTATATATTATATA